ATAAATTGTAATTTTCGTTGTTTTCTTTGATAGAAGTATCATTTATGTGTTCTTAGTTCGTGTAAATTATCTTTGAAGGTGATCTTCCATGACTTGTAAATTAACTGACTTTTGTTATTTTGATTTTTTTTTCTCTTCGAAATATTCTTTGGAAGTCGTTCAAGATTTGTAGATTTCCCATCACTTTTTTCATGTTTTATGCCTTTGGTGTTGCATTCAGTTTGTATACATTATATTAGCCATGGGGGGAATAAGTGTCATTCGTGACAGAGTAAAGATTGCTCGATAAAAAAGTTCACTCACTTCCCGACGGAATCTTCCCCTCTTCACAACACAAACTCGCTTTTTTTCCCCCGAGGATATTTCAACACCCTTTTCAAAATAACAAAAACAAAAAAAAATCTTCTTATCTTATATCTTATATTATATCTTCGGAAAATATTTCAACGCCATTTTCAAAATAACAAAAACAAAAAAATCTTCTTATATCTTATATTATATCTTCGGAAAATATTTCAACACCCTTTTCAAAATAACAAAAACAAAAAAATCTTCTTATCTTATATCTTATATCTTCGGAAAATATTTCAACGCCTTTTTCAAAATAAAAATAATTTCGCCGACCTCTTATATTTGTACCGGCGACCACTTATATCTGTACCGGCGACCTCTTACATCTGTCCCGGCGACCTCTTATATTCGTACCGGCGACCTCTTATAGTTGTACCGGCGACCTCTTATATTCGTACCGGCGACCTCTATATTCTTATATTTGTACCGGCGACCTCTTACCCAGCTGCAGAGACACTCGTGGGTGGGTGGGTTGTGGTGAGGGGGAGAGGGGGAAACACACGAGCCACAGCACGGGAGAGGCAGAGCGAAGCGAGAGCCAGCCCACAGCCGAGCTCCACAGCCAGAGCCACACTCGGGACTCGGAGCTTCGTTGACCCCGTGGCGGCTTCGCTCCCGGCCACGCGGAGGGAGACACGCACACACGCACGCACGCACACATACGCACACACGGACGGACACGTACTCGCTCACTCTCTTACATTTATCTTGTAACCTTGACGACTGCGGTGTAGGCTATTTACAGGCACTGGGTGGAGGGACGTTTGGGTGGGGCGGGAGGGAAGGGGGGAGGGTGGGTGGGTAGATGGATGGATGGGTGGGTGAATAGGTGGGAGGAAGGGGGAGGGAGGGACGTTTGGGTGGGTGGATAGGTGGGAAGGGAGAGAGGGAAGGAGGGAGGGTGGGTGGGTGGAAAGGTGGATGGGAGTGAGGGAAAGAGGGAGGGTGGGTGGGTGGATGGATAGGTGGGAGGGGATAGGTGGGAGGGAGAGAGGGAGGAGGGAGGGTGGGTGGTGGGTAGATATTTGGGAGGGAGGGTTGGGCGAGAGGATGGGAAGGGTTGGGTAGGAGGAGAGTGGGAGGGTGTTGAGGAAGGAGGGAAGTGTTGTTGTCAGTTAAGGCACGAGGAGAGACTGTGCGTGTGAACGAACCCACACAGGTACAAGTTGATGCACAGAAATATACACACAGTTGAATGGAAAAACACTCGAGGACGAATCCGAAACTGCTGTCTCACTTTCTTCGATAAGTCTAGTTTGTGCATTGTTTTTTTTTTTTTTTTTTTTACCATACACATAGTTATTCATGATTCACGTGCGCTGAGACATTTATTGAAATACACACTTATTTATAAGTATTGTCACACATACGAAGATATTCACACACACGCACACGCACACGCACACGCACACGCACACGCACACGCACACGCACACACACACACACACAACACACACACACACACACACACACACACACACACACACACACACACACACACACACACACACACACACACAACACACACACACACACACACACACACACACACGCACACGCACACGAGACCCACAAATCACCCGTCATACTGAGGGAAATTTTCCACTGGCACAAAACCCGACGACCGACGCAGTGGTCCTTCGTGCTGCAGATTTCTCGATGGAGGGGCGTCGAAGGAGCGGCTTCGTATGTCACGCCTGCTTCGACGTCGCCCACGACACGCTGGCGTTATTGTAGGTGTTATTGAAGGGTAGTAACAGGAGAGCCGCCGTGTTGTCAGGCGCGAGTGTCAACAGGTTGCGGTCGTCCGGGACAACTGGTGGTTATCGATTCCCTTTTCTCTTCTTCTCTGTCTTTCCCTTTTGTCTCTTCCTCTCCTCGCTTTTCTTCCTCTTCTCTCTCTTTCGCTTTTATCTCTTCCTCTCCTCGCTTTTCTTCCTCTTCTCTCTCTTTCATGCCTCCCCCTCCGTCTGTTTGCCCTCCTCTTCTCCTATTTCCGCCCCTCTGTTCTCCCTCCTCTCCTACGCCTTTTCCTCTTCTCTCTCTCTCTCTCTCCCTCTCCCTCTCTCTCTCTCTCTCTCTCTCTCTCTCTCTCTCTCTCTCTCTCTCTCTCTCTCTCTCTCTCTCTCTCTCTCTCTCTCTCTCTCTCTCTCTCTCTCTCTCTCTCTCTCTCTCTCCTTCTCTCTCTCTCCACCTCCCTCT